TAGTGGTGCAGCTCACGGCCAAGGTGCAGAGCACCAGGAGTAGGAGTAGACCCATTCTGTGGGGAACAAGACCAGGATGGTTCAGTATGTGGAGCTGCAAGGATGGGATACTTATAGGACTCTGTAAGGCCAATTTGAGTAGTTTTATAATCACAATCTGAACCTTGGACCAGAATTTAAAACACAATGTCCCATTTTATCTCCTTGAACTCTAAATGTGGATTTCCATGAGTCAGCACTTTGGATGGAATTTGCCAATGTCTTAATCTTAGACAGCTGAGCAAACTCATGGGTACACGTAAGCAAAATTACGTATCCTAACCCTTTCCCTAGAAATCATAATAAACACTCGGGTCAAGGCTCCTAAGAGGTCATGATTGGATTCTGGTTTGCCTCCTTGGTTCCAAATGAATCAGAATATACAAACTGTCCTATTCTCCCATTTCCCCTAGCACCTTCCCTCCAGCTCATGTCCTTGGCCACACCAATAATTACCCCAGGCTTGGAGCCTGGGGTCATGGTCCATGGTACCAATTGTATTAGTTGAATTCACACTTCCTGCCTGGCCTTCCATGTTCACCATTCTTGTTAGATCAGGAAAAAAGGCTCTAACCCCACATCACCTACATGAAAGACCAACGAGATTCCTGAAGCCCTTTGGGGATCTGGCTAGGAAGTGGTCTATGTAGATTTTTTTAAAACAAAGACTTCATTTAAGTAAAAAAAAAAAAGTGTGTGTGGGGGGTATATCAATAGTTCATGCATCATATGCCAAATTTTTTCTTCCTTTTATGGAGCTGTGTGGAAGCAAACTCATAAGGAAACTGAAACCTAATAGTATTGTTAAGAGGTAGACAATGATTGACAGGTAGGCTGGAACGTAAATCCCTCAAGGTTGGGACTCTTACTTTTCTCTTTCAGCTTCTGCTTGGGGTTCAGGAAGTTTCTACTGATTGGAACTGTACAAAACACAAATAACTTTTAAAAATTCATTTAAAAAAAACCCACAGGGAGTGCCGGAGTTCATGTCCCAGCATCAAGAAGGGTTCAGGAATCTGGAAAAGGCGCTGCGCGTAGATGACATAGGAATCCAGAGACTAATTAAGAGTCCGGAGACGCTATGACATGCTGGAATTGGTTCCCGGCAAGGGAGCCACTGAGAACTCTGGGATCTAATCCTGAAGCTGGGCTCCCCAGCAGAGAACACCAGTGGAGGAGGGTACCCACATAACATCTAGCTGTGAAAAGCAGTGGGGTGCTGTCTGCTAGGGAGTGGCAGCTGAAGGGTTGGGCACCCTCTTAAAGGGCCAATGCACAAAAATTCCCCGTGGAGCCACCCACCTAGTGCTCTGGCAGAGGGAGGGTGAAGCAGACTGGAGCTGTGAGAACAAAACCCAGGACTGAGGACTCGGGGGATAGAGCTCAGAAGGCGGACACCCCAAGTTTCCTGGGCTGAGTCATTCCCTCACACAGCAGAGGACATCTTTCCCACA